GGGGGGTATTTTCACATTGTGCAAACTGCGGAAGGAAGGTCGGGGGAGGGGGGGGGGGGCAGAGCGGGAGGGCTTGCGCAGCTCGGCGCGCGAGGGGGGGCGGGGCGGCCGAAGCCAGGCCCTCGCCAACCGCATGCTGCAGCCCCTGGCTGGCTCCAAACATGAGAATCACGGCGCCGCGGCGCGCGCGACCCGCGACGTCGCGCGTTCCGTCGGCGCGGCCGCTCGTTAAGTCTAGGTCGCTGCGAGCGCGGTGGTTGCTTGGAATGCGCGCGCAGGTCGGCGCGAGCCGCGCGCGCTTAAATTTCAGCGCGGCCAGCGGCGCGGAGCGCTCAGACAGCGCGCGCGATGCAGCCGCGCCGTGATCTCGCGCCCCCGCGCCCCCTGCAGAACTTGGGGGGGCCGGTTCCGCTGGGGGGGGAAGTGTAGAGGCATGGGGCACCTGCGCATAGCGCCGCCCTGCCCAGTGGATGACAGGGAAGATGACGACGAACTCTCATGGGGGCTTGCGGCTTTGCTCTTGGCGCGAAGCAGTGCAGCGCGCAACGCGCTGCCCAAGGCCGCCCGAGCGACCCCCCATCGCCCCCGCCCCCGCCCGCCCGCCCGCCGACCCACCCGCCCGCCACCACCGTCGCCCCCTCAACCTCGCCCCGCCAACCCGCCCCCCACACGCACGCGCGCGCTGCGCCATCACATCGCCCGCGCCCGCCTCCTGCGGCAACGGCGCTGCAGACGCAGCGCTGGGCTTCCTCCAACCCCCGCTCCACAGTTTTGAAATAATAGTCTTTCGCGCTGCATATTTGGGCGAGTTGACGGGGCAAACCATATCCAAACATCGCCGGCGATGGCGATCGGCGGCCATCGACGGGGGCCCGCCATTAATGATGACGACGCTCTCAGAGACAATTTTGCGAACCTGATTTCTGAGCTCTTGCATGCTACCACTGCGCAGTGACATTGCCTTTCGAATCATCTTTGTGTCAAGACCGTCCAACATAGAAAACACGTGCTTGGGGATGGCCTCGATTTTGTGGGCATCGCAAGGGAGCTCCAGAAACCTTGTTTTCTGATTTGTCGACCGTTCGGCTCTCTCCGCTCGGCGGTTCGCCGCGTGCTCGTCCCCCATGGATGCCTGCGCGATTCTGGGAAACGTATCATCGATGAGCGGATCAACATTCAAACGGGTCTCCTCCAAACACCGTGTGAGAGTATCAGCTGTTGTTCTATCAATCACCTTCAATCTAGTCGGCTCGCGCGTTCTCATTATCATGTATATGTCTGGGTGGCCGGGCCGAACCTTTCGCAATGCATATGCGAAGCCCCCCTCAACAACCACAAGCTCGTGGTTTCCAACATTCTCGGTCCCAGCGTCTGCGTCTTCCCAGGTTGCCAGCTCATCGGGATTCTTCGCATACCTGATTTTCAATCGTGACTGGGTGCCGTCATACTTCCTATGCCTAACAAAAACAAAATGTTGGATTCTGTCCTGCTCACCTCGGGCGGCGCAGGCCGACAAAGCAAGCTGGCACACCTTTTTTTTTTCACATGCTTGTCTGCACAACTGAAAGGTGGTGGAACTGGCGGCGAGGAGGTATTGGCGAAACTTGCTGTTCTTCAACCCGAACTGTTTTGCCAAAGACAAATGAGAAGCCAACAATCTGGTCATTCCTTTCTCGCTTGTGACAGTGCCCAACATTTCCGTCAACATCCTCCTCACCTGAGGCCGCCCCTCCTCGCGACGCTCGTCCATCCGAACATCTCGAGGCCCCTCGACCAGAAGCGACACCGACGATGCGATCACAAACTCAACAGGGGCGGCCCCGGCAGCGCATGCAAGCGCCAACTCGGGAACATTCAAATCGTTTGCGTCGAACTGTACCCGAGGGGCGGCCAACCAGTCATCATCATCTGATTATGAAGCCCGCTCGGGTAAAGTATCGTTTGCAGCAGCAGCCTCAACATCAACATTTCGAGGCTCCAGCGCTTTCGAAATCCCAATCCAATCTTAATCCGAATCGGACAGCTTGCCAACAACCCCTACGGACGCCCTCGGGCCAAGACAGCTACGGACGGAGAAGAGTATAACCAGGTGGGCCATAGCCATGCGTCGTTGGCATGAGCGACGCAACTGCGTAGGGCTCTCTCTCAAGGCTCTTTGAGGCCTTGTCGTATCATCGCTGGGCAACTTTAGGGCCACGAAACAGCATCGAGCAAACGCGGCGACAACCAAGCTTACAATTTCATGGCGTTGATGGGGTTTCGCTTCTTGCGTTGGCGGGTGGGTGGGTGGGCGCCTCAAGCCCGCAACGTACTCGGAACACGTTTAAGAAGGCCATGCGGCCGCTAGGGCCGCTAGGGATATGTAATCGATCGCATGTTGACCCATGTTGGGCTGATACGTTTTATGGAGGCTATGTTGGGCCACCTGGAGCCATCTTGGAGACATGTGGTGATATCTCTGGGAGCGCCAAACACACCCAGGATCGTGCAAACACACACAGAGCAGCTATCGATTAGGTCCTAATCGATAGCTGCTCTGTGTTGCCAAATATGTTGCGCCTGAAGGTCATCGGGGCGGCCCCGCCAGTCTTCGCAGACGCGTAGGACATGGGCAGAGGAGTGGTGGGCCACGGAGGAGAAGGGGGGAAGGGGGCGAAGGCGGAGGGGGAGGAAGAAGAGGGCTACTAGCTACTAGAAACGCTTCACATGTGTGAAAAAGCGACCCCCCTGAAAAGTGGCGAACGGTCGCGGCGCGCCGCGTATCAGCGCAAACAGGCGCGAAAGCGATCGCACGAAATTATTGGTTTTTGACCAGGGATGGCGCCAAACAAAATCATCAAACATTGTTGTCCTGACCTTCGGCGCGCGCTGCCCCCCATCAAACATTGACCTTTCGGCCTTCGGCGCGCGCGCCGCCTCCATCCAACTGAGTCGTTGTGGCCGCCGACGGAGGGCCATCAAAATCCATCAACCCCAACGAGGCCCCCTTAGGCAGCCCCTGAACCCTCAACGCTGGCGCACGCCAGTGCAGTCTGAGGACGGAACTGCGAGGACACGCGAGATGCCCATGCTTAGCTTTGCCACCGAACAAGCAAGCATCCATGCTCGGCGACCAAGGAGTGCTCGACGCCCCACAGGCACGGAAAGGAAGAGAAGCTGATCAGAACCGAACGGAGGTGAGGGTAAACGTTAGGGTTAGGTCGGGCTTGTCCCCCTACATGGGATTTTGAATGCAAAATCCGCCGACCCTGTCGGCGTGTGGAAGATGCTTTTCCGTTCGTCGTGAACGTCGTCGTCGTCGTCGTCGTCGCCGCCGCCGTCGTCGTCGTCGTCGTCGTCGCCGTCGTCGTCGTCGTCGTCGTCGATGCTCTTCCGTTCGTCGTCGTCGTCGTCGTCGTCGTCGTCGTCGTCGTCGTCGTCGCCCTCCCCTCAGGCGCGCCAGCCAAAACGAAACCAAAGCGAAATCGAGCAACGTTGTAGCTGAGTCGAAGGCAAAGCGAAATTGAGCAACGTCGTAGCTGAGTCGAAGGGAAGCCCCTTCCCTTTGATCCCTTCCCCGCCGGGGGGGGGGGTCCCGGGGGGGGCCCCGGGGGGGGGTCCCGGGAAGGGGTCCCGGGGAGGGAGGGGGGGCAGATACGCATCTCCCGGGATGTCTCGGGACCTAGAAAAGCCCCCAGACTGGCCAAGAGTACCCCAAGAGGCTTCCAAGACGGCTCCAGAGGGCCCCGAATCGCCGAACCATCGGTCGAAGACGCCAAAGTAGCCTCCAGACGGCCCAAGAGATTGCCAAGACGCTCCAAGAAGTCTCCAAGAGCACTCCCAAGAATGCACGAAGAGGGACAAATCAAAGATTTCCTTAAAGTTTTGTCAGATTTTGGCGTTCTCGCCGTTTCAACTTGCCGACGCTCCAAGACGGCCCCAGGTGCCCCCAAGATTGCCCCAAGATAGCCCAAGAGGCCTCAAGAGAGCCCCCAAATGACCCAAGAGAGCCTCAAGACCGCCCAAGATGCCTCCAAGATGGCCCCAGAGGCTCCCCAAACGGCTCCAACAGGGTGCCCAGACGGGAGGCCCGACGAGCCCTCGGCGACAGAGGCTCCCAGGAAGCCCCAAGATGCCCTCAAGAGGCCACCACGAGACCCCCAAGAGGCCCCCAGGAAGCCCCAAGATGCCCACAGGAGCTTCGCGTGCTCATCCGGCATGAGCTGAGGCTCGGTTGGCTCACCCTTTAACCGCAACGTAGCTACTGAAAAGCGCGGGCCAAGGTAGCTGCCCCCGGAGTGCCGAGCCCAAGAGCATTCCAAAGCAACCCCAAAGGCTCCCAAGACCCCCCCCCAATACGGTCGAAAAGACCCACGAGAAAGCTCCAAACTGGCCCAAGAAGGCCCCGAGAGAGTCCTCCGAGAGAGCCCCAGAGAGTCCCCGAGAGACCCTTGAGAATAGCTCCAGATCGCCACCGCCGTCAACGTCGTCGTCGTCGGCCAAAGACGCTCCCGAGAAAGCCTCACGATTGCCAACAACGGCCCCAACACGACCACCCCCCCACACGAGACCCAAAGATACCCCCAAGAGGCCCCCCCGCCACATTAGAGAACGCATGGGTCGCCCTCCAGGATCGGCGGCACCGGCCGTAAGGCCTTCGCAAAAACAAAATACTATGAACAGTACGCTCAAATGTTCAGACATAGTCAAAAAAACCCGGACTAAGATTGTTCCTATTATTGAAGATCCCTCCTGTGAAGGGACAGGCCCGACTTAACGTTAGGGGCGGACCGGCTCCGGGGGGGGGACCTGTCGAGCTGGAGTCGGCGATCCTTCGCCGACGCATCGGCGATAGGCCCCCGATGGCTTCGCGAATCCCTGGCGTGGCCCCCGGGGAGGGCGGGCGAGGCAGAGGCAAAGGGGAGCGGCGGGGCGGAAGAGAGAGAGGGCAGAGGGCGAGGGGCGACGGGAGAGAGAGGGGCAGGGCCCCCTCGGCCACCCCCGATGTCGCCGTCTGCTGCCTCGCGGTCCTCCTCCGGCTCTTCGTCGTCGTCCTTCTCCCCGGCGGCGGCGACGCTGCTGGGTGTGCCGTCGGCGTCGCCGGCCAGGCAAGAATCGTCCTCGACCTCGTCGCGCGCGCCACGGGTGCGATCTGCACGCGTCCCGGCCAGGAGCGTCAGGGAACAACTCCTGGGCAATCTTCGTAAGAAGGTCTACGGAGCCCGATTAACGAGCCAATGAGCCGGATTGAGCCAGATGAAGCGCGGGACTAGGCTGAATTGAATACGAGTATGCTGGATCAAATTGGTCAGAGACACCTCTTTTAATATTCGCGATCACACCCGTTAAAATCCCATTCCCCCCCCCTCCCCGCTCCCCCTGGTAACGTCACGATTCGCGCTGGCGCCGTCTGGGAATTTGGCGAACCGCGACTTTACCGGCTCCATCCCCCCCAGAAGGTAAAAACGTGATCGGCCCTTCAATCCGGAAAAGGACTTAGGACTGCATGGTAATTCGGATGTTTCCGAACACTGCAATTGAGCGATGGGCAGTGCCAATGCTGAAGATATCAGTGGTGATGATATTGTTCCAGGGGCTGTGTTGTGCTGCTCTGCGCCGTGCCAAACAGCATCGTGACGTGCCAGGGGACGCGCCAGTGGAAGTGCCAGGGGACATGCCGCGTTGAACTGTGCCGTGCGCTTTTGCATGATGGATCAAGCCGACCTTAGCGTCATAATCCTGACCGAACTGCTTGGGACATTAAGCTCGAGCTGCCTACGCGCATAGCCCGGGCAAGTTACATTCGGACCGCGCGGGGCGCTCGACCAACTCGAACTCAAACTCCGATTCAGTTCCGAAGGCCCCTTGCACGGGGGCACAGCCAGACAAGCACATGTTGGATATGCCCCCGTGTATCCTGGGCGCGTGAAGACGTGGTTCCAGCTAAGGACAACCATGTTATACCCCCCCTCTGGGCGGCCTGGCGGCCTCTTCCCACTTGGGGGCGGTTGGAACCGACGTGTTCCACGCTGGTTCCGTTCTGGAACACTAGGAGCCGACGTGGTTTCACGCTTGTCCCGCTCTTGGGTGTCAGAACCCGCGCATGTGTTCGCGTTTCTCTTGCTCTGGGCGTTAGGAACCAACGTGTCGCCGCGCCCGCCCCGCTCTGGGGCGTCAGGAACCCAGCGGTCTTCACGCGTGCCCCGCCATCGGGCGTCAGAGCCCCATGTGTTTTCGCGATGTTCCATCACTGGGGCGTTAGGAGCCCGCGTCAATCGCTCTCGTCTCTTGTCCCGCTCTGGCAAGTTAGGAACCAGCGCGGCTTCGCGCATGTCCCGCTCTGGAGCACTGTGAATATATATATATATATATATATATAATTTCGCGCTTGCCCCGCTCTGGGACGTTGGGGGCCCAAAAAGTGCCCGGCTCGTCCTGCCCTGGGGCGTTAGGAACCTAATTATTGGTCTCGCGGCTGTCCCACTCAGGGGCGCGCGCCCCGCCCTGCGACGTTAGGGGCCCGCGTGTTTCGCGCTTGTCCAGCCCTGGGGCGTTGGGGGCCCGCGCGCATTCACTCTTGTCTCTTGCCCCGCTCTGGGACGTTTGGAACTCGCGCGGCTTCGCGCGTGCCCCGCTCTGGGGCACTCGGAACCCACGCAGTTTCGCGCGCTGGACACCAGGAGCCCGAACGTCGTCGGGCTTGTGCCGCTCTGGGGCGTTAGGGGTTCATCATTTTCATTGGTGTTGCGCTCTGGAGCGCTAGGGGCCCACGAGGCTTCGCGCTTGCCCCGCGCTGGGGCGCTGAGCACCCACGCGGCCCCGCGCTTGCCCCGCCCTGGGCCGCCCGCCCAGGGGCGCTGGGAACTCACGCGCGTTCACGCTTGCCCCGCTCTGTAGAAACGACGCGGTTTGACGCTTGCCCCGCTCCGGGACGCCAGAAGCCCACGCGTTTTCGCGCTAGTCCCATCTTGGGGCGTTTGGAACCCACGCGGGGCCACGCTTGTCCCGCGCCTGGGCGCTGGGAGCCCGCGCGTCGCCACGCCCGCCTCGCTCTGGGGCGTCGGGGGCCCATTGCTCTCTGCGTTTGCCCCGCTGTGGGCCGCAATGAGTCAACGCGCGCGCTTGTCCCGCTGCGGGGCGCCGGCAACCCGCGCGGCGCCGCGCGCGCCCCGCTCCGGGACATTAGGGGCCCAAGTGACTTCGCGCATGCACCGCTCAATGGCGCTCGGAACCGCGGTGGATTCACGCGCGCCTCGCTCTTGGGCGCGAGGAACCCTTCAGGTTTCACGCGCGCCCCGCTCCGGTGAAGTGGGAATCGATTTAGGTTCTTACACTCGTTCCGCCCCTGGGCGCCAAGACCCCATGCGATTTCTCGCTTGCCCCGCTCTGGGGCGCCGAGAACCCGCGCGCGTTCGCGCTCGCCCCGCTAGCGGGCGCCGGGAATCCACGCGCCCTGATCATCTGGGACCGGCTTAACTATGGAGTTGTGGGTTGTCGATTTCAGGTCGCGACTGGATTCCGGTTTTGACGCCGTCTCGAAGTAAGTGACACACGCCCCTGCTCATGATCTATGAATTTCGGCATTGGCAACCCGAATTTGGGCATCGATTGCGACGCAGAGTTCGGCACCGTCGAGCGCGAAATTCGGTAACAAACCGGGCGCGGATATCGAATGTTGATGACCATCTCCCAGGAAACTTTGACGATGAGACTGGACTTGCCAGAATGAAGGGTGATTCTGATGTAGATGGTAATACTTATGTTGATTATGGTGATGATTATGGTAAAGATGCTGTTAGATCCAATGGCGCCCACGGTGTTGTCGCGCAACAAAATGCTAGGAAAACGGGCCCAGGGGGGAGGAGGGGGGAAGGAGGAGGGGGGGAAACCCGATGACGACGAGGAAACGAAGGAGGAGGATAAGGGGGAAGAGAAGGATCAGGAGGAACAGAAGGATAAGGAGGAGGGAGAATACGGGGAAAAGAAAAAGGGAGATGGCTCTCACTCCGACTCCGACGACAAGGCCGATGACGACGAGGAAACGGAGGAGGAGGAGGAGGAAGAAACTGATAAGGAGGAAGAGAAGGATATGGAGGAGGGGAAAGGAATGGGGAAGAATCGAGCCCGCTGAGCGGCGCCGTAGAGCCCGCTGAGCGGCGCTGTCGAGCGCGCCGAGCCCGCCCCCTCACTCCGACTTCGGGGCCTCGTCCTCCTCCCCCGTCGCCCTCTTCGGCCGAGTCCAAGCCCTTGTCTGGCGGCGGGCTCAAAGGGGGGAATGAAGAAGGGCGGGCCTTCAACACGCAAAGACATTCTGAGAGATTATCCACGCCGTGCCCCCGGGGGTCCTCCAGCCTCCTGAGAGGCCTTCTGCGTCTTTCGGACGCGGCGTGGACAGCGTCTCAGAATGCCCTTGCACTCTGAAGGCCCGCCCCCTCTCAGTTTCCCCTCGGGGCGCCGCCGTCCTCCAGGTCGCCAGGCGCGGCCGCTTTCCCAGCGTCGCCGCGGGCCCTGGCCTCGCGATGCCACTCCTACAACCAGGGGTCGACAAGACGCGACGCCGACGCCGCCAGGGGGGTCGCCCCCAACGACGAGTTTCACCCACGATGCCCCCACACACACAAACAAAAACACACAAACACACGCGCACACATACGCACACACACACACACGCACACGCACATACATACATACACACACAAGCTGGAGATTGGGGGCGTCTAGAGCGGGGGAGGGGGGGGGCATGCCGCCAGGGAGAACCCCTGCCCCTTGAGGGGCATCGCGGGTGAACCTCATCGTTGGGGGCGCCCCCCCTGGCGGCGTTGGTGGCGCCCCCCCCTCGACAACCCCTCGCGGCCGAGGATCGCTTCGCTGTCTGAGTTCTCGCCCGTTCCCTGAGCTGAGCCACCTCCGTCTCCAGGGCGACGGCCTTGAGGGCGCGAAGCTCATCGCGCTCCCGCGCCGACCCCCAACCCACAGGAACAACCAATGTGGGCTGGGAAGGGGGAGCGGGGCCGAACCGCGGAGCGCGAATCACTTCGCCCCCTCGCTGACGTCGTGGATCTGGCAGATGGCCCAAGTCAGCTGGAGAGGGCGGCCCCGCCGCAACCCCGCCCCGATCGCCCCGAGAGAACGAGGGCCCCTCGGGGCTTCAGCGTCGGGCCCTCCTAGAGCCCCAGCGGAGGAGTCCCGCGATGCTCTCGCCCTCTCGGGGCGATCGCGACGGGCGTGGGCGGGGGGCCACCGCCCCCTTCTCATCCTCATATTCCCCATTCTTCCCTACGGGCAGCCATTGATACAGTTACTTCAGACAACTTGACATATGAATCCCCACGGAGGCCTTCGTCATTCCAAGTGCCAAGTATCTGCGTGCGAAGTGTTTGACGTTCTCGTCGAGGCTGGAACCACGCGCGCAGCCGCGCGGAAGAGTGAGGCAATGAAGCTGGACAAATGGAGGAAGAAAACGTAGCACAATGAGTTGGGGAAATAGAGGGTGAAGATGAAGATGTACAAAAAGATGAAGCATGTAGGTGTAGCGGCCTGGTATCCTTGACCGTGCCTGCTGTAGAAAATGAGTGCGGCTCCGTAGCTGAAGGCGCAACGGTATCTTTGCCCAAGAGACGCCCAATACTAGGAACAGCAAGCTGAACAAGATGTGGTCCATCGCTGCGGGCTCTCATGCCAGGCTGGACTGTGCCTGGTAGACGCCGCGTTTCCTAATGCCTTTTCGATTCCCCCTTCGGCTGACCCTTCATGCCGCCAGGGGGCCGAGTAAGTAAAGCACTGCATTTATATTCCAGCTCCTTGAAGCCTTCGTGTTCTTGGAGTTCCTTCCAACTGGCCCATGTGTCGGCCCGCTCCTTCTTCGCGGCATTGCCGGCCACCGTCGCTGCAAGAGCGGGCTCTCCGCCCGCGCTGACCTCGTGCGGAGAGGAGTCCGTGATCTTGGTGTCCTTCAACAGGTACTTCAGTCCGAAGCAGTAATTGCGCGCCGCGCGCTCCAATTGCGGCCTGTCGGGTGACGCCCAGATATCCTTACCATTGTGTTGAAGACGGGTGCCCCTGATAAGTGCCACTGCTGTGTCACGATCTGTCGCATCCAAAAACTCCGCGAACAGAATGTTGGTGGAGACCCCTTTCATGCACATGTTCTGGGGCAAAGGGCTACCACGCTGCGATAGCTGATCGCGCAACCACGCGGCGGCCGCATGCGTCATAGTGAACCCATCCAGATTCCCAGACTGCTGTCACAGAGCGCTTGTCGTTCGGATGGTGAGGAACTCTGGGACCACCTTGGCGTCTGAGTTGCTGAACTTCACGTTCTAAAGCTTGCAATTTCCCGAATGTGCTTGAGCCAATGCTCGCTTCCGGCCCTGTCCTTGCAGACGGTCCTGGAGTAGGCGCTCGCGAAGCATCCCGCGACTCCAGGATCCCCAGACGCGTCGCGATGTCGTCGATGGTGCTGGAAATGGGAGCAACCTTAGCATCAAGATCTGCACGCGAGACTCCATGCGATTTGATCGCGTGTATGTCCTGGCGCATGGGGTCAAGCTGTTCCTTGAGGACCTCTCTGAAGGCGCTCATCGACACAGACTCTCCCATGATCTTGTCGTCGCTGCTGCTGCCGCCAGCACCGGCCAGTTGAGCTTGGAACCGTTGCTGACGTGCAAGAGTGCTCTCGGCGTCGTCGAGCCCGTCCATTTCCTGCAGCGGACTGTGGATGCGGCGCTGCTTGAACAACTGCTGGGCAGGTGTTCCTGGCGCACAAGAGTCGACACTGGCCCCCAAAGAAGACGTCTATGCAATGTCGAGCTGCATGGGATGACGTCGGAGAGAAAAAAAAAAAGAGCAATCGCAAATGGCAGGCACAGTGAGCAGGTGTGACCCCGGCTTGGGCCGTGGGATATCCTTGAGCAAACATCGAAAGTAAAATCAGCACGACAAAGATCCTCAAACACCAACAAAGATCACATTCTCAGCACTGTTATCATTGCCATCTCCGTAACCATCAACAGATTACGTATATACTTTAACCCATCTGTCATCAGGGTCATCGCCACCACCATCACCATGATCACCGAATGATAGAAGGGATTAGGTAGCGGCGACCATGAAATTGCAACATCACCGGCATCGAAATTCGGCAGCGACGGCGCTGGATTTCGGAAGCGACGAGACGCCGAAATCCAGCATCGCCGAACAAGATATCAATGAACAATTATCAGGATTCCCACGCCGATTCAACCGTGAACGCGTGCCTCTCGATACCAGATCTCGTCGCTGGATTCCAATATTCCAGTGACGTCCGGTTCTGCGACCTCGCTACCGGATTAGGGCGGTCGCGGGTGATCTGGGCGGCGTCGCGCTCGCCCCGCCCCGATGCGCAGGTGGCCCGCGCGCGGCGACGCCTGTCCAGATCCGGGGCGTTGGCCCCTGGGGCGCGAGGAACCCGCGCGGTTTCGCGCCTGTCCCGAGCTGGGGCGATAAAAACCACTTGTTTTCACGGCTGCCCCGCCCCTGGTCGCCGCGGCCCCGCGCGCGCTCGCGCGCGTTCCGCTCTAGCGCGCCATGGGCCGACGTTTCTTGTTCGCGCGCGCCCCGCTCCGGGGCGTCGGCAGAGGCAATTGAAAGAAAAACGCGCGAAACTAACGAGATTCAAAACCGGGCAAAACAAACGGCTCGCTCGGATAATCCTCGACACATACTGCAGAAGAAACGTTTCGCTCGAGACGTCCGCGACTCGCGAAAATGTCCACGTCGCCCGACGTTTGATTTGTTGGAATTTCCCAAGCCAGCGTTTCGCTCGGGACGCCCTCGAACGCCCGCCCCCCGGCCCTCTTCGACCCCGTCACTGGTCAAAGAAAATGTCAGCCAGCCCTCCAATGGGCCAAAACGATACGAGACCGCCCCGCCAACGGCGGCGCGGCGCGGGAATCGCAAACGCATGCCCCGCGCAGCCTCGTCTTGTCATCGCGAAGGCCCCGCGGCGGCGTCGGGGGGCCGCCGCGCCGCGCCAGGTCCGGGCGCCGCCCGAGCACCGCCAGCCGCGGCAGCGACGCGGGTTCCACGCGCTGGCCCCGCGAGATCCCCAGTCGCAGAGCATGCGCCGATTGCCTCGATCAGCGCCTGGCCGCGCCATGCGGCGGCGCGCTGCCGCCGCTCTTCACCTCGCGCCCAACCCAGCGACGCACGCAGCGCGCAAGCCGCCAGCGCGTTTCAGAATAGCGTCGCCGCGCCCCGCCAAGCTGATGCGCGCCTCGCATGCTGCGCTCGTCGCTCTGGCCAGCGTCGCGGCGCCTGCCCCCGCCGCGCCCCCGCGCGGTGGAAGCGGGGGGCGTCGCGCTGCGCGTCGACGCACTGGCCCGCGCTCTGACGACGGCGCCCGCCGCGGTAATCAAACTCGCGCGGCTGGCGCCCGTTATTCGGGCGCCTGGTGACTGGCGACGTGGAAATGTTGCGTTCGGTCGCGCGGCTCGGCGCCGGGCCGTTCGCGCCCGTCGCGATGCGTTGCGCCGCGGTCGCGGCGCCCGATGGGCGGCCAACTTTTTCGCGGCCGCGCCGAGCGCCGCTCGCATAAAATATGCCCATGGGGGCTAGTCGCGGCCAGCTGATCAGCGCCGCGTCGCCGGCGCCCGCCGCGGCGCCTACCGATGGACGTCCGCTGCGCCCGCCGCGCTGTCCGGCGATGTACTGGGGTCGCGCGGCGCGCGGCCCCCCGGCGCCAGTCGCGCGGCTCGGCGTCGCGCTGGCGGCGCCGGTTGCCGCCGAGCGCAACGGCTTGAACCGGAGCGGCAGCGGAAGACGGGGGAACGGGCGGCGGGCGGGGCACGAGGAACGCAACGGGGCGGAAATGACGGCAGCGGCGTCGGCAGCGCCCGCGCCGCCGCTGCCGTCGCCGCGCGCGCCCGCGGCTGACGCCGCAGAACCGCCGGCTGCGCTTGCGACGGAGGATGAACAGGAACTGGGAGGAATCGCGCGGCGGAAGCAGGAGGGGGGGGCAGGGCTGAGAAAGAGGGGAACGCGAAGCAGACGCAGAGAGGGAGGAAGGGGGGCGCGAAGCGGGGCGAAGGGCAGGGGGGGGGAAGACAGGCGGCGGGGAGACGGACGCGAAGGGGGGCAGAAGGGGGGGGGGGGGCAAGAGCACGACAAATGACGCAGGGGCGGGGGGGGGAAACAGGGCGGGCGAATCAGGGGGGGCGCGAAGGAAGAAAGGGGGGCAGAGCGAATGCGAAAGAGAAGGCCGCAGGGGGGCGGGGAAGGGGGCAGCCGGGAGGAGGGGGGGGAAAGGAAGGGGGAGGGGGGGGGAACAGGATGGAGAGAGGGGGGGAAGAAGGAAAGGCGAAAGGGAAGAGGGCCTGCGTGCCGCCGACAAAAACGCGAAACCCACGCTGACAGAAAGCTGGCAATGCATCCACCCGCCGGCGCGCGCAGGCTTCCGCAACTGACGCAGAAACGTCCGCGAGAGCGACGGCCCCCATTCAGACTACTCCGGCAGCCTCGCGCCGCGCCACCGCCGTGCCCGACCCGAATCTGACGAGCACTTCAAAACACGCGCGCGCGGGCCAGGTCCGACAAGGCACCTCCGATGTCGCGCGACGCGTCGGCTCGAACGTCTGACAGCCCACATGACTGACCCGCAAAAGCTGAGGAAATCACCATCCCAACGCCGAGCAAACTCACCGCGCGCCCCGCGCGACAAGAAGCCCGCGAAATCGGCGAAGACGCGGCCCCCATGCCGCGCGAAGACACCGCCCTGACAAGCGGCGAACTGACAGGACAACCCGACCGCGTTGACGTCGAAGCGGCCCCAACCAGCGCGTCGACGTCTCGGCGAACTACGACTGCCCGGCGCGTCGCTATCGCGCCGTCGCCGGTCGCGAAGTGCCGCGCGAAGGACAGCGAGGCAAGGTCGCAAACGTCCAGCGAGGTGCGCCGCAGGCGGCACGGTGCAACGCGCGTCTTGGTCGAGAGAACCCCGGGCCGACGCCCTTCTCGGGGGGGCGCCTCTCCTCGGCCGCGGATGTCCCAGAGCCAGTGCTGAGTTTGACCTCCCAGGAATTGCATCCTAGAGGAGCGCGCGGGGCGCGGCGACGGGGGCGCCGGAAGATGCGAGATGGCACGGCAGCTGGAGATGAAGACGGGTGCAGGACGACGATGAGCGGAGCGAACAGCAGGATATCGAGCTCCAGGAGGCCAGGGACGGGAGCGCACGGACTCCGATGAGCGAAGACAGAGGAGGAGAGATGCCAGGCAAGGAGCCAGGAAACGATTCAGAGGAGGCAAGCCAAAGAAAAGGAAGAGGATGGGGCGGATGGGGGGGGGGGGGGGGGCGGAGGAGGAAGGACCGACCAACGCTAGCGCTACCAGCGCCCGCCAGCCCTAGAAGGAGTCGGCTTGCGGGGGGGGTCGGGCGCGCGGGAGGCGGGCGGAGGCGTCGCCGGCGCCCCGCGCCCCCGGGGGGCTCCATGTTGGATTTCCCAGACTGCGCCAAGCGCGCGCGTTAGTTGCCCGCGCGCCCACATTCGCGCAAGCGCATCCTAGGAAACTATGATTTTGGATCGGAAGCGGGCGACAGCGGGCATGGGGCGCCTGTCAAGGCTGCTTCTGGGATGCGATTGCCGCTGGCTCGACACGCGCGATATGCATGCAACGACTTTTGGAGGACGGGCGCCGCGCCGCCCAATCCAACGCGACAATGGCGCGGTCCGGGGCGCGCGGCCGTCGCGGCACACGGCGGTCGACGTGACCGCATGGGGCGCGCGATCGGCCGCGCGGCATTTGCGGGCCATTCGGCCGACGCTGCCGGGTCGCCCTCAAAGAGCCCGCCAGGAATGCGCAAATGCGCAATGCGCCAGCGCGCCGCCAGGATATCGCCCTGAAAACAACCTGTTCACTCTGAACGCCGACTGCGCGCCTTGCTGAACCAGCGAAGTCGCGCGGAGCGCCCTCGTCGCGGACCCGCCGCAATGAACTCGCGGGAAAAAGGCCTCCCTCCATGGGTTCTGGCACCGATTCTGGCCTACTTCCCCGTTCTGGCCGATTCTGGTTCCATCGCCGATTCCTCCTTTGATTCCGTATTGATTCCGTACTGATTCTTTTGATCCCGCTAGAATCAAGGGTCGCAGTTGTGCCGATTCTGTTTTGATTCTGTACTGATTCCGCACTGATTCCTTTGATTCCCCTGTGCCCCAGGGACCATCAGGCCGCAGCCCGAGCTCCCGCCTCGGCGACATTGGTTTTTCCAAGAGCGCGGAAGAGTTTTGAGGGGGAGGGGGGCGGGGGGGGAGGCGGAGCGATTTTTGGGGCGCATCGGGCGGCCGAGCCGCAGATTTCGGGGCCCAGCGCGCGCGCCCAACATGGCAGGCGCTGGTGCGCGCGCGAGTTCTCGACCGTCGGCGCATCTGTAAGTTCATGCCCCGCCCCGCGCGCGGGAATGGAAACTTGCGCTGCGGTTCCCCATTGAACGCGCGGCCGTCGCCCCCCATGCTGCTCAGCGCGCAAAGCGCGCGAGCAGCATGGGGGGCTTTGCGTACGCGCATGAGAAGTGCGCGGGGCCGAACCGAACGGTCGGCGGCGCCCGCTCCTGCGCCGCGCGCGAGGCCATCGCGTCAGCGCGGGGGGCTACAAGGGCCTGGGCCGTCGCCCTGGGGCGCGGGCACAGCGCGAGGCCCGCGCGGGTCTCTCGCGCCAAACATGCGCAACAAGGTCGGCCCGCCCGCCGGCTGGCGCTCGCGGGCGGCGCGACGCCGGCGCCGACTGCGAGGCCGACTGGGCCCGGAGGATTCCTGAGAGTCCCGGGAAGGGGCAGCGGGCCGCGATGGAATCGGCGCGGTCGTTGGCGCCCCCCCCGCGCCCGCCCCCCCCTGCAAGCCGACCCCTCCTAGCCAGCCCCCCGCGGGCGGGGTGCAACGCGCTGCCGAGGCGTCAGCACCTGAACAACATAGAGCGCACCAGCGCGAGCGGAGCGGCTTGCAACGCTGCGCCGCTCTCATGACTTCAGCGCCAAGAGTTAGTTGCCGGTGACAAGCTCTCAGAGCACATGATTGCGCAGCCTCTCAGAAGAGGCGATTGTGGGTCACCGAGGAAAGAGCAGGAGCCACCTCGGTGCGAAGCCAGATCGTTTCCCTGCCCGCGAAACAAGATCCCCCCCTAGATCCCCCCTCCCCGACCCACATCTTCGGGAATACCACTAGCCCTCTGGGCGAAGATGGTAAAACGGGCTGCGCTCTTCTGAAGCCCCTCCTTCCCCTGATCAGGGGAGGGGGGCGCCCCTCCCCCTGCAACCTCTACTGGGTCTGGACAGAATGCGGGCGGGGGGCGCGCGAAACGCCCGGAAAGTATGCGCGCCGTCGGGAAGAGCACTTGCGATGGAGTTCGAGCGCGAAGCCTGGCTGGGGGCCGGCACAAACCAAAAACGCTCCGCGTCAGCCCCCCGAGGACGACCCTTGCACGGCGCCCGAACCACCAAGCATCGGCCACTCCTCCGCTACCTGAGAGCGCCGCCACGACCGCGTGGACGGTGTAGCAGCGTTTCTCGAACCTGCCGCCAGCGCCCGCCCGCCCGCCGCCGCAGCTTCAGGCGCAGGTCCGCGCCAGCCCAGGGCTCCTGGCCGAGGTGTCCAGCAGCGACCGGGCAGCCCACCCGCCAGGTGCCCGGCCGGCGTCGGCGGCCCGCGTCGCGGCGGCCGCACGCCTCGCGGCGCCCCGCGTCGGCGGCGGTTGGCCGCCCGCCGCCTGCCGGCGAGTTGGCCGCCGCGCTAACGTCGCCGCCCGGCGCCGCGCCGACAAGGGCAGGGGGTGGCGGCGAATCACCGTAGGCGACTTCGCTGACGCCAACGTCTCAATATGCACAGATGATTCCTATCAGCCCCCGCGTGATGTTCCCAGACGCGCCAAGGCAACAACGAGAAGCACCGGCGGGACTCTGATATATCCCATTGTGATAGAGAGGGGGCTGGCGGCAGGGGGCGAAGCCCTCACGGATATACGCTAGAAACACGCGCGCTTCGCGAGCGCTTAGGTTCTAGCGCGCCCCGGCCACCGACAACATCACAGCTGCACGTGTGCACGAATATGGATTGCGACGGCAATGAGAAGGACGCCTTCAAAGAGCCACGAAGGAAAGCCTCACCACCGGCCCCTCCCTCATGCCTCCTCCTCCTCCTCCTCCTCATTATGTACATCATCTTACCTCCTCAATCCTTCATCCTCTCCGCCCGTCATTCCTCCGGAGCCCATCCTGACCCATCCTTCACGTTCCCTACTGTCCGTTTCTTCGCCCCCCTTCTCCCCTCTTCCCTCCTCCCATTTCCACGCATTCTCGCCCAACCTCCCCCTGCCCTCCTCTCTTCGACTCTTGCCTCCCCGTCCTCCCTTTTGCCTGCGGACTCGGATGACTGGTCGATCGTACGGCGCTCTTTGTGCTCATAGGGCGTTCTGGTGCCTCTCCCGGTCTCTCTTTGGGGCTGCCTGGGGTGCTCCTGGAGCCGTCTTTGAGGCGTCTTGGGACGGTCTCGGAGACCAGCTGGGACTCTCTTCAAGAAGTGGTGGAAGAATCGGCATCTTTGAACATCCTGAGAAAATCCTACGACGGGCCTCCGTGGTCAACTTGCAGGGAGACGCGGGCGGGGGAGGAGGACGATTCGAACGAAACAACACGTGCTTGAACAAAGCAGGGAAGGTGATAGTCCCCTATGTGTTATCAAGTGTACCCCGAGACAACGGGCTCCAGAACGCACATCACAAACCCAGCAAACAAACTACATGACCCCTTTGGAATAGTGCTTAGGCCTTCAGTGGTCTTCTCTTCGGGGCCACCTTAAGGGTTCTATGGGACTTTGTGGGCCTTTTCGGCGCTTGCTGGTCCGTCTTGGGGTCCTGTTGCCCCGCCTGACGCCTTCAGAAGATGCATTGGAAGCGTATCTGATCTGTCTTGGGGCGCTCTGGGGCCATCTAGGAGGTCTCTTGGGCCGTCTTGGGGTTCTCTTCAGGCCGTTTTGGGGAGCTTCTGGGGCCGTCCTTGGGGCTCTCTCGAGCCCGTTTTGTGGACCTCATGGGTGGGTCACTCTGGGGTATGAGTGTGCCCTCCGTGGACCATCGGAGGCGAAAAGGGGAAGAGGGCGAAAACTATGGTGTTGCCTTGGGTGATTTGCAGATGTTGGACTGTCGGAGGCCACCCGGCGCGTCTTGACACCGTCTTGGGGCAGAATGCATCGGAACGGAATGAAACTACAAAGGAGCGTACTGGGGAAGAGACGGAGGCACTCGGAAGGAGCTGCGGGGGGGGGCCTGGAGCAAGGATGTTTGGAGATAAGCGCGGCTATGTTAGGACAGCCCCGAGGGGAAGAGGCTCGCAAGTCAAACTGAAAAGGAGGGAGACGGCCCCCCTCAGAGAGGGGAATTTGCTACTCTGGAGGACAAAGCTCCCACCACTCTGACAAGGCCCGCGCCCGCGACGGGGTGCCGCTCCAAAATCGCTCCTCGACCACCCTCTCGATCCTGGCTCAACCTCGCTCAGCGAGTGCGGACAGGCGCCTCGCATTGGCTCAACGAGCGCAGTGGCTTGAAGCAGAAAACGATATGGCAGAATATTAACGTCTCCCTCGCTCACCTGCCATGGGCAAGCCAATTCGATGAACTACGGCCTGACAAAAATAGGCGGCGGCATGAGTGTAAAGAGCCAGACGGGGGAGAGAGACGAGGCGGAAAGAGGGGAGGATAGATGAAGAGCAAACTGAATGAACAGAAACTTTCGGAAATCCGCCCGGAGTTCTTGGATATGCGGTGGACCCCCCTCCCTGACGCGCGGACCGCGCGAGGGCGGCGCTGGAAGTGCCGCCAGGGGGTCCGTATCGCCGTTTCAAAGGATCCGCGCGGACCTCCAAGACTCTCTACTAATGTCATCTTCTTCTGCAGGGAGAAGAAAGAAGAAATCAATACGCGATCCGTGCAATAATGAGTGCAAGCTGTCTGTACACGAGCCAGCGCCGGAATGTAGACGAGCGAGCAGCAAACAGGACGGCGTCGCTGGACCTGCACATGATGCCGAGGGACACGCATGGGTAGGCACCAAACCTCAACGAGAATGGCACTAGCCAGAAGAACCGCTGCGAAGGCGAAAGAATACGAGTATGCTATTTACTCGAATTCGCAGACGTACCCTCCGACCACATACGATGCTGTGAGCGCTCTCTCCTTGCCTGGAGAAAAAAGGTGGGAACCACACATACAGTGATGTATGCGCGCTCGTCCAAACAATCGTGTACATCTTCTGCCGACTGTCTCACCTTCGCGAGACTTCCCCGAAACATGTCCACTGAATTGTGCTCGGTGGCGGTTGCCTTTCGCAGCGTGCCGCCGAGGATGTGTGAAACATCCCCCGCCAGAATGAGGAGCACGGCGCCCGCGTACGACAAGAAACCAAACGTGACCTCGAACGAATGCCAGCAAAAGCTGGCCGCGAACATGCACACCCGGAAACTGCCCCCCAAAGAGAGCTGAAGGTGCCCTGAGGGGCATGCCGGACGAACCTGAAGAACCACATAGAGGCCTCCCAAATGGGTCTAAGCAAATGGGGACGGAGGATCGCGCCACGTCGCCGATGAATCGCCGATACATCGGTAACCTCGGCGATGCATCGGCGCCGTCGGCATGGAGAACATCCGGCTCCGCACCGTGCCGCATTCCGGATGCACCGTCGATGCGGCGCGATCCAGCGACCCCATCTGTTCCGACCCCACCCAAGAGGCCTAGCCTTCAGGGACAAAAAAGAAGCTGACGCACACACTCGGCGCGCTAGCAGGCCGAGCCAAAAAACAAAAACCCAAATGTCCGACGACGCGTTTTTTTTCGGTCTCGGCATCTCACTCCGATCTCGGCCCCAGCGGACCGTCCGTCTTCGGGGCCCAGGGCTATAATCTCTGGGGTCTCACAGTCTGGCGCGCGCTGGGGAATTTCTTCTACCTGCCGACAAATAAGGGGAACAACATCACAAATAACTGAACATATAAAACTATCGGATACACACACACACACTTATTTGTATACGTTTTCAACATATGTCTCATACGTTTCCATCTGTTCATAAGATGCCGCGCCGGGTCAGAACAACAATGCATCTACGCATGTGTATATATATATATATACACGAATGCGTATGCAACGCCAACTCAAAAAAAAATCAACAACAAACATATAGTAGAAAATACAAGTATGTGTTGCCATATATGTATCATAATTCCCCACGGTTTTCAAAATTTGTAACGCCCGCGCAGAAACGGTAAACTCCCCAAACGGAGCTATACATATGTGTTGACATATATGTATATGAATTCTCCCGGTTTTCATAATTTGTAACGCCGGTTCAGAGACGGTGGAATCTCAAAACGTAGCTAAACAAATGTGTCGCGTACGCGTTGTATAATTTTCCATATTCTCATAATTTGCAGCGCCGGCTCAGGCACAGCACCATATCAACAACTGCCAAGCATACGAACAAATATTTGAAAGAGCGTGTTCTACCGCTGCTGGCGGGAAACCGGGGGGGGGTCACTACCGGTTCGAACCCCTCCCCCCCCCTCCGGAAAACCGGGGGGGGGGTCACTACCAAGTATTTCTATGTTTGTATGTGTGTTAATACATACATGTGTATATGTGTTGTGCCACGTGTGTATATATATACAAACCATCAATTCTCTTAATATTTCTCACAATGCCCCATCGTATGAAACGCCGCCTCAGAAACGGAAGAATATCCCCAAACAAGAAACATTGTCGCTGGTTCTAACAAGTCCCAGAGCGTCGCAAAGCCAAAAACAAATGTGTGAAACAAGCTGTCGCCCGGTTGCGGTTGCAGTTGCGCGGGCGGATTGAAACTTGTCGCCCTTTTGCGGTAGCAAGTGCGTATACGCGGGCGGGTTGAAATGTGCTGCCGGATTGCGGTTGCGCGTGCGGTTGCGCGGGCGGGATGACATGTGTCGTCCGCGTTCGGTTGCGGTTGCGGCCTTGCGGGCGGTTCGACATGCGCCCGCCGGCGCGCGGTTGCGGTCGCGCGAGCGGGCGGGTTGAAATGCGTCGCCCCGCGGCGGTTGAGGTTGCGCGGGCGGAATGAAATGCGACGACCAGCTGCGGTCGAGGTTGCGCGCGCGGGCGGGTTGAAATGCGTCGCCTGGTCGCAGTTGCGGTTGCGTTTGCGCGGGCGGGTTGGAATCCGTCGCCAGGTTGCGTTTGCGGTAAAGCGGGCGGATGAAAATGTGTCGCTCAGTTGCGGTTGCGCCTGCGGTTGAGCGAGCGGGAAGACGTGCGTCCCCCGGCTGCGGTTGCGGATGCGCGGGCGGGTAGAAATGCGTCGCCTGGCTGCGGTCGCGGTTTCGCGCGCGGGCGGGTTGAAATGCGCAGCCCGGTTGCGGTTGCGCTGCGCGCGCGGGCGGTCTGAGACGCGTCGCCCAGTTGCGGTCGCGTTTGCGCGGGCGGTTTGACCTGCATTGTCAGAAGTGCTCTCCTGACGGTCAGTCAGTCCGTCTGTCAGTCAATCAGCGAATCAGCCAGTCAATTCGTAAGTCACACCGGCGGGGGCGAAATTTCACCCAGCTCCGCCAGGAACCATATGCTTTCACAAAATTCTCGGAGACCCCCCGGGATTCCCGAGGGCTTGCGAAAGCCGGCGGAATCTCGATGAGAGATCCGACTGGGAAACTCCCGAACTGTCGATCTCTCTCGGGTTTACCATGGTTCCTGAATCTCTCGGGCTCACCCCAGTTCCCGAAGACCCCCGAAGATCTCTATCTGAAAACTCCCACAGATTCCACGGGAATCCGAAAACATCAAACATTCCCCGGCAGGTTCTCCGGGGCTCCCCAGCCTCGCGAGGATTCGTAGATGCCCCTGAAGGTCCCGGGGGGCGTTCGCGGACTCGCGAATTCACAGGATTTCCAAGAGCCCCCAGAGGTTCCTCGAGGCAGCGCCGACGCCGCGGACAAACGCGGCCGACTCGCAATCACGCGCCGCGAAAATACTCGGGCACCCAACTGAAGAACAATGGAGAACGCCCCCCCCCAGATCGCGCAAGAACGCGCATCCGACCGGGGCCCCTCGAAAAAGACGCGCCTGATCTCGCGCTCTGCGTCGGCGAATTCGCGACGTCGTCTGCGGCGACGCCCGCCGTCCGCGCGCTCGCCGGGGGGCGACGAAATTACCTCGCCAAACGAGCGGCCCGGGCCCGCGCAGAGCTAGTCGCACGCGCGGGCCCCTCATCCGCGCCAGACGGGCAGCGGGCGGAGGGCGGCATTGATGCGAGGAAGAAACCTCGACGAAATCGCTAGTCGATCACCGTGGGCCGACAGCGCGTCGCGCCCGAAACCGACCCCTTCGAATAGAAAATCCATGCTCTTGCAAATCCTCCACAAGCGCAGACGATCGGCCCCCTCCCCTCCCCTCCGTTGTCGTCGTCGTCCGTCGTCGTCGCCTGCGGTGCGTCTTGTCGTCGTCGTCGTCGTCGCCCGTCGCCGCGGTCGTCGTCGCCGCAGTCGTTTTCGGCTGTCGGCGGCGCCCGTTGCCATCCCGTATCTCGCGAGATGCCGCGCGCATGTATAATCTCAGGCGCTGGGTCGCGCGCGCCCCCCCCCGCCCCCTGCCCCGGGCGCCGCGCGCGCGCGCCCTCCCAGGCGCGCCGCAAGCGCCCGCGCGCCCGCGCCGATGTCGCGGCCGCGGACTACCAGGCGGTCATCCGCGCCCTCGGCGAGGAGCAGATGGGCGCCGCGCGCGCGGATATATCTCCTCTTGATGTTCATATGTTGTTACCTGTGCGCGTTGTCTGCGTTCCCACCGCGTGCGCATCGCACTGTTTCCACTGTTCGCTCTTCTCTTTCTTCGCCCCCCCCTCCCGCGCGGCCGCGGCGCGGGGCGCCTCTGGCGCGCCCGCAGGCGTTCGTGTGTTTTTTTCTTTCTTTATATATATATATATATATATATATATGCATATATATATATATATATATATATATATATATAGATGTTATCATACGCGCCTCTCCGAGGGAGTGGAGCTCAGAGGCGATTGATGCGCGCGCGGGGCGTGGTGCGCGATTTTTCTGGCCGTTTCGCTAGGGGCGCCCTCGAAATATTGAAAACCGGCGGCGCCCCCTCACGCAGATCGTGACGTCAGGGTCCAAAAACACATGGGAATTTCAACATGTTTACATAAAACCTTCACAAGCTCATTGTAATTTCAATATTTTTGACCCCGATTCTCAGAGAATGGCGGTTCCGCCTGAAACATCCACCCAAAATCGAACCCCGACGTACACTGTGGTACCCAAAACCCCGCCTCGGAGCCTCCCGGGGGCCTCCCGGAACCTCCCGGGGCCTCCTGGGGCTCTCTGCACCCTCTGGTGCCCCAGACCCCGCCTCGGAGCCTCCTGGGGGTCTCCTGAAACGTCCTGGGGCCTCCTGGGGCCTCCTGCGGCCTCCTGGAGCCTCTTGGGGCTTCCTGAAGCCTCCCCGAATCTCCTGGTGCCTCCCGGGGCCGCCTGGGGCCTCGGAAGTACATGCGCACACAGAGTCACAAATCATTCCCACACATCACGCGCTAGACAAACATAACACACACACACACACACACGCACACACACACACACACACAACACCTGCAACGCACAGAAAGCACGCGCAACACAGAGCACACATCACACACACACAACACTCACAATCCTGGGGCATCCTGGAGCCTCTTCTGGCATCCAAGTCGGGCCTCCCGAGGCTTCCTGGGGGGCCCTGGCACGCGCGTCGCAAGGTGTGGCAACCCCACTTGCGCTCGAGTGCGACTGCGCTGTTGCATTCCACCCCTGCTCAAACGCCACTTCAGTTTTTTTGTATGAGCCTGGGCGCGCACGTGCCACTTGTACGTGTCTGTGTTTTGCAATTGTGCATATGGCTTCTTTTTGTTTTGCATCGCTGCGCGCTGTGCATGTCGCGCGTGACGTTGCCACCCGCACGCGTTGCCGGCGGTGTTTCTCGCGCATCTCAATGCCAGCGGCGCCCGCAATAACGCGACGTCGAAAGCGGCCCCCGACAAGGCGCTCATGGCCCGCTACGCCGAGGCCGCCATGGAGACGGCCGCTCTGCAGCCCAACGCGGCCATCAACCGGGCGCGGCTGCGGGAAACGATCTACAACGTCGCGACGGGCAAGACAAGAATTCGATGTTGTATACGTTCTACTTCTTATCTGGATTTTTCACGATGGCCCACCGCGGCCGCCGCGCGCGCGGGGGGCGGGGGCGGGGGGAGGGCGGGCGGGGGCTATGGCAGGCTGAGAGAAGACGAGGGCAGCGACGACAATTTCGACGACGATGGAAACTGTGGACGAGATAGGCGGACGACGACGACGGGCGACGACGGGCGACGAGGGGCGGCGGCGGACTGCGACGACTACGAACGCGACGGACGACGACGACGACGACGACGACGACGACGGCAACGTCGACGACGACGGCGGCGACGGCGGCTAAACCGAAGCGGGGCTGCAAGACAAGCTGGATTTCACGGAGATGATGGACGAACATGCCTCCCGCGACGTTGCTAGGTATATCAGGCGCCGCGTGCGTGTTTGGCGGTTGGCCACCCCGTGTTCTCATTTGCATGTTCGCGATTTTGCGCGCAATCGATTGCAGAATTGCGCGCGCCGTGTATCTCTGGCCCTCTCCATTCGCGAGCGTATCTTCCAGCGATGACCCGGGAACTCTGCGCCCGCGCAGCCGGCGGCGCCCCCTGCCCCACAGTGCACCCCGCGGCGCGCTGCCCAGGTAGCTGGCGAGGCAATTCATGGAGACGAAAGGTGGCGCGAAGAAATCCAGGTCGATCGAGCAGCAA